GAGATATTTATTTGTTTTATTGAGCTAAATTTGCCCGGTTCCCATTCTGACTGGCTTTTATTATCATTATTTTTCACTAACAAAACAGTGAATTTAATACTAATTATTTTATCCATATAGCAATATCTGATTACTTCAAACAGGTCATATCTTAGTATTCCTCCACACTAAACAGATTGCTCTTAAAGCACTCAAACAAAAGAGGTTTTTCTCCACCCTGCAAAGTTCTGTGACATTTGAACATCAAAATACTGAGAAATACTGTAACAAATGTGAACATGTAATTTAAAAATCTGGCTCTATAAAACTAAGAAGGGTTTCAGAAAATGCTACAGAACTTTTTAGCATGTAATGAAAAGGTCTGTTAGAGTCCAGGCAAAGAAAAGTCCTGTTTACTCTTTCCCTTGTATGATTTGTAAATATATAATGAACAGGATTTCTGACCCAACGTGACCTGCTGAAGAGGATGTGTTGCAATTTATTGTAGGGAAAAGATGGGAAACCTTGGACACTGGAATGGAGAATCTGAAAATTATGTCTGATTTCATTGAGCCCCAAAGTTCTACCCACCAAACTGAAGATCTCTTGAGAACCCTCACCATAGCCAAGACTGTTCTTTCTCCAAACCACCAGTGGAACCCCATTGGAAAATCTGGATCCTGACTTTAAATCCAAAACAACGCAAAACCTCAGATCGCTGCAGACTCTGTCATGAACTGATGCCTTCTCAACAAAACCAAAACATTTCATTTAATGATATACACTAATGGTACAAAGGAAAATTAACTTGAACCTACAGTTAGGTTCTGACTCTTTGAATTTAACAGTTTCAGACCTGCTATAATTCCTTTTTTTTTTTCTGACTGAGATACGAGAACAGAGTCTAAGCCTCAGCCCCTGCCAGAAGAGATCTGCAGCAGTTGCCTCATCAGCTGTATGGGAGTTTGAGGACAGGAAGGAAAGTCTTCTCCCTCAAAAAAAAAATTAAAAATTTCCTTGTTCATCATCCTGAACTTGTAGGTTTTACAGGTAAGAATATTCTTCCATATCTGGCTTCCCAACTTTGCTCAAAGTGAAGGCAGCATTGCTGTTGCACTGAGGATTGATTAATCTACAAATTCAGACTATTTCACTGTCATTGTAATAAGCAAGACTAAAATTTTCTGACCTTTGTAGGTTCTTATTTAAGGTACTTTTGTGCTGATGGGACAATGGCCAGGGGCACAAGGAGACCAGCAGGTCCCTCAGTGTGCAGAGCACACCTCACCTGAATTCCTACCAGATGTGCAGTATTTTTTCTGGCATTTTTCCATGCTTTTTGATAAAGGCAGTAAGGAAGGACATTCAGTGCCCACCAAAACTGGCAGATAACACCTTTGAGAGAAAAAACAGGTGTATTTTGTGTATCACACAAAACTGTCAACAGAACCATCTGCATCACTCCTCCACTGGCAGTCTGGGATCATCAGATCTGTTGGTAACTGCACTGTTTTGAGGCCTGGAATCACACCAGTAGGTTTGAGGCTAAATCAATTAACATGGCATGGCCAATTACAGAAGACAATTAACACAATTTTACTTCACAGATTTATCTCTGATTTATGGCAAACAAAGGCTTAAACAAGTAGATCCCTGAAGCCCTTCAAGATTTCATTGAGCTGTGGGACAGAACTTTCAACATTAACTTATTATCTCTTATACCCTGTTCCAGGGCTGCCTCAAACACTCCCATTCTTGATGATGCCTTGTGGGACAATCACCCCTGCAAGCAGGAAAAAACAGAATCAATGAATATGAGTTCCATGGTCAAAGGGACACCATTTCCCAGCACGAGGCTGTTCTGCCAGTCCCCTTGGATGGAGGCAGCTGAGCGAGCACAGGTTGATGCACTCAAGCAGCTAAATAAAGAAACACCAATTAAGTTTGGAAGGCTTTTACATAAACCATAATCTTCATGCTACAATGGGGGGAAGAGTGTTTTCATTAACATTTTTCCTGGGTTTTTTTTTTTCAGTAAAGGCCTAAGGGAAAAATCAATGCTCAAAGTTTTTTTAGTTGGCTTTGACTTTTTAAGCCCAGGAGCTAGCAAGCAAATGTTCCTTATTTTTGTGGAGCTAAAAATGTAAAATAAAAATGGCAAAAATGAAAAAGAAAGGGAAAAAAATTAATGCAGATAATGAAAGCAATGATAACTTTCATTCTGAAATGATGGCTGAGGAGGTAAATTATAAAATACAATTTCTTGTAATGACTCAACAAACATAGCCCAGTGCCTCAGACAGAATTTAAGCAACAAAGTCTCAGCTGTAAATCAAAAGGAAATCAGATTTGAGTTTTTAACAGAGCAACTAAAAAATTTCACTTATAATTTGCTGTCATTGAGTGTCAGGTATTGGCAGAGATGATCAACAGTCAAAAACCAAACTTTGTTTCATTTAATGATAACAGTTATCCTGAGCAGATTGGGAGATGACATATTTCTGCTATTTTTCACTTCAAACTATAATACTGAGTGCCACATGACTTCTTCTGATGGAGAATCTACACAGGCATGCACAAGACTAAAGGAAGGGTGTTACAGATCACTAAAGATAATAACATGGAACAAGCAGCAAGAGATAAGAAGAACTTAACACCAAAATGCATTCATGACTTAGCAGACAACATAAATCTAATGTCATAAAAAAAATTAAAATCAATAGCCTTTTGACAGGTCTGGCAAGAAAACATTTCTGAGAGAAGTGTAAATATTGCAGTATCTTTCTCCAACTCAGTAAAGCTTTTAGGCACCCTTAAAAGCAGTCACATCTTTAACTACATCTCCAATCAGCAAATCACTGACAGTTTCCACTGCCTTTAATGCTGATCACTGTGATGAACAGGCAAAGAATGAAGTGAACACACACAATATGAGCTGAAGCACTTGGCTGAATTGGAGCCACTATATATAGCACCAGCTGCCACAGGACGTGTGAAACTGCTCCCTGCTGAACACAGAAACTCTCCCTTTGAATTAGCACCTCCATCTATTTTTAAAGATCTCAGGATTAAATACTTTCCTCACATCGTAAATTCCCGAGAACAGATTGACAAGGCAGGGATAGGATTTGTCCTACACAAAACACAGCTGGGGAAGCCAAGCACAAAAGGGCAACTCCCCAGCAAGAGAGAGTCAAATAAAGGCATCAGGTTGGATTTGAAGCTTTTGTGGAAGGTTTGCGGTTTCACACCCAAGGTAACCTGTGACTATGTGGAAGTAATTGCAGTGAACCAAAGAGCAGTTGCACTGCCCATTAAAAATACACATAATGAGAGTATAAAGGACTTTTTTTACACTGAATGGAGGGGAGTGGGCATTCAAATAATAAATGCAAACTGATTATTTTAACCTGTGTAAAGACTCTTCTTCAAAACTGTTGAAAACAGATGCTGTGGTTTTTCCAGGTTGTTAAAGAAAGATCACTTACTGAACCTTGACAACCTTACAAAGGCCTAAGAATGTCCCATTGCAGGGATGAAACTCTGAACATCATTAATAAGGGTCCCGGAATTTTGCAAACAGTTGTTCCAGATACCATGTTCTGACTTTGCAAGCGGCATTAAATTTGCTTTTCTAGAGCAGTTCATAAAAGAATAAAACCATGTCTCCTATCTTACACTTTCAAGCAGCAAAATGCTTGACAAACTTTCTTACCAATAAAGTGACATGGTTTTAGGTGGTTTTTATAAGAAATGGAGACAATCTTGTCATTAAAAATAAATCTTCGTCTCACTTTAAAACATTTTTTACAAAAACTATTTCAGTGTTTCATCATCTTTGCCTAACCTTAAATTCCCTTGCTGTTTGCAAAGGTTGTTATTTGCTGTACATCTGCTGTGAAATACAGAATCCGACCCCTCTTGGCAGTGCCAGGATTAAAAATTCCATTCCCTTGTCAGTCATCTTTCCTTCAGCAAGACCAAAAGCTTCTTCAAACATATGATTTAGCATAAGTCACATTTTATTACTTTTCTTGCTCCAGACTTTCTCCAACTTGTCCACTTTTCTTCATGTTCAAGCCCCAAACTTTCCTTGAGGCTTTACTTCTTCTGCTCACAGGAACAAAAGAAACACTTCATGTTTTGCAGGCTCTGTAGCTCTCCATCCATCCTTGGTCATTTTTGCCATGGTATGATACTGGTAATTCACTTCTTTCCTTTGAAAATTTAATATTCTCCCTGATATTCCCTTCCTGCCTATTTTTGGATTTCTGAAGTCTGTCATAAAAGGTTCTAGGCCCAGCAGGAAACTCCTGGATCAAGCAAGTTCTCTCTCAACTATCATTATTAGTGTTGCAGTACATAATTTCACTGAAACAATCTCAGAATTTAAATCAAACAAAATTCTTGCTCCCACTATGCACAGAGGTTGGGTTTTTTTTAATAATAATCCTGCAAATTATTAAAACTGAGTGCACCCAGTGGCTGATGCATTTTAGGCAAACAGATTTTTGTGATCATGGCATTTGACCACCATCATGTGGTTGCCACAATTTTTAAAACTCACTATGACGTGAAACTACTCTGTGACTTCCAAGAGAAAGCAAGTACCAGAGACATCACAATTTTTTTTTCACATTCAAACACGATCATTTACACATGAATTTTGGGTAAGATTCTGCTATACAAACACAAAACTGTACCACCCAACACACCACAACTGCCAAGAAAGAAGTCATCAAATTTTACAATAGACATGAGATATCCTGACCCTGCTAAAAGAAATCATCATGAAAAAATGCTTGAACCTCAGAAGTTGTTGAATGCACATGGATTGCTTTAATCATAGTCTGCAGTTAAAGGAGGTTAAACTCCTAGAGGAGGAATTTCGAAAATTTGTTCACATAATTCTTTATCTACATGTTGCTGATGATACTGAAAGTTTCCAGCATGGTCTTTAAGTTATAGCAAACGTAGCAGAGACAATGAGTCAAATATTCAAGAGTCAAGACCAGGCTTACCTTGTTGCTGGCAGGGTGCTGACACGGGTGAAGAACACTGATGGCTCTACTTCTACGTGAAGGCCCAGTGAGAGGTTCCTGTAATACCCTTCCACATGTCCTGGTCCACCTGAGTACTTAAAGTTCAAAATGGCTTCCAGTGTCTGGAGAAATAAAAGTAAATTACTTGTTAGCTATTTTTCACTACTGTGCATTTCACAAGTTCAATTAAATTAGACCACAGAAGTGATTTGCGAATTTGCTTTCCTAACCCACCCGTTCTATTATCTCTGGAAAAAAACACAATCTAACAAATAACTGCAGCTTAGGCAAAGAGTTGCTTTTTTTGCCTAATCCTTTTAAAAACTAGAGAGTACAGCACAAAGTCAGCTGGAGTTCCCTTTATGTAATTCGTCTCCATACCACATTTAACATCAAAAAAAGAGCTTATTCTTGCTCAGAAGAGTTTAGGGTTTATTAAATGCTACGCTCCTTCATATCCTAGAAAAATATTCACCACTTCATTACCTGCATAATCAAATGGAAAAGCTCCAAAGCTTTTGGGCAGATAAAGATTATACAAAGCTAAAAGCATCTGGTCTCTCAACAAGTGCCTGCAAAAGTAGGCTCATCACCATTAATGAACAGATTAGAACAACACTGTTGTCGGGATCTCGTGCACACACCTTGTCTTCCTTTGTGTTCATTTTATAGGGAATGGCTGGATTGCAAATATTAAAAATGAAAATAATTCTCTGGCACTCATTACTCTCAGCAGCACTGAGCCCTTACTTCTGTGAGGAAATTTTGGGTTTCCTGTCTTTTTCCTCGATGAACAGCTTACGGGAAGCTTCTGATACCATTCCCCACGTTATCATCAGTGTTCAAGATCAGAACAAACCTCTGATCCCTCCAAAGAATTTATACACCACCTCTTCTTTCCTTATGTTCCTGAAATACAATTTGCTGGATGCAAGTGAGGATTTGGGAAGTCTCATTGGATTTTTTTTTCTCAGTTTTCATTCTGGTCCTCGGGCAGCTGCTGCTGTCACGTCTCAGAGCAAGGACAGAGGCAGTGTCAGCCCTCCATCCTAACATGGACATGACATACTATGCTGGAGCCTGTGTCCACAAGGACAGATGTTTCCTTCAAAACATTTACAAACAACTCTAATCTCCTCTTTAATTGGCTTTTAGCATATTTATTTTAAAAAAAGCAAAAAAAAAAACAAAAACCAAACCTCACACCAACAACTTATCCAGGAAAGCAATTCTATTTATCAGATGCCATCAATCCTCAGACAAGTAAAAGTACTCTCCCTTTCTACAGAAGATTTACAAAACAATTTATGAAACCTGTTAAGTTTTTTTCCATAAGCTCTAAGGAACAATCTAAGGATTTTCTAACTTACAAAAAAACATTTATGTTTGATACCCATTCTGTCTCTGAGTCTGGCTGAGGGAAAAGAAACACAGACAGAATCAATTCCTTAAATGACCACAATCCAGTGATTTAAAGAATACCAAATTCAGAAGTGTGACATTTTGCTGCATGGTCTGCTATTTCCAGCCTGCTTTTAAGTGGGCTAACTCCAATTCCTAATTTAGTTTCATTAAAATTCATGAGAGTCACCTTACAATACAAATAAAAACCTTCACTGGGCACACCGGACATACTCGTCCACTGTGTTTATGTCAATTCCTAACTGCAGTTAATGAATTCAAGTTTATGTTATGTCAGGAGAGCTAATCAATATTAAACATGAAAATAAAAAAGCACATAATAATAAAATAAAAAAGCACAGGGACCCCTGGTGGCCTAGTGGTTAGCATGCAGGACTCTCACCTCTGCAACCCAGGTTCGAATCCAGCCAGTTCCCCGGGCAGATGGAGCCCGTTAGCCCTGTAAGGCCATCCATCTATGAGAAGGTCACTCTAAACAAACCTACGTCCTGAGGACCTCACTGCCATTGTCCAAGCTTGCTTGGCCCCGGCAGATGAACCTTAGGATTAAAGGGTGGGCTCAGTTCAGCGCAGGCTGTGTCTCACCTAAAAAATCCATTGCGCAGGCTGGAAAGGTAAAAGACCTTTCCCCAAATCTTCGTTCGCGAAGACTGGCCATTATTATTAAAAAAGCACAAACCCATTCAAAACATACTTCATCCTAATTAACCAGCTGGACCATTTAATACAAATCAGAGCCAGGCTCCATAAGTACAGGGATCTGACACTACTTCCATGGCAATGTGAGAATGGGCTTCAATTCCAATTGGGAAATTGTGAAAGCTCTATGCATGTTCTGCATTATTGCTGTAATACTCACAATATCCTGCTTGGAAAAGCTACTGTGCTATGGATCCATGGTTCATTCTCCACAGCACCACAGCACAAAGCTCCTTTATTAGGCCCAGACCCACAAAATGACAGGTAAACACATCATAAATGTTAGTTTGAAAGGTCACAGAGCATTATCATTCCAGATTCAAAACCCTTAACGTCCTATACCAAGTGAAAAACCTCCAGAAAAAAAGCTGAAAAATACAACCATTACGTGCCATTAACGAGCAGGAGAGTTTGAGGGCACCATCATCATCTTGGTCCCTGTTGTAGAGAGGAATTTCTGAAAGAAGTCCTGATGATGACACTGTGTGTCCCCCACACCCCACATTAAAGAACGTGAAAAAGAAAACCTAATGGTCTTCTATTAATCTGACAGCAGTAGGACATCCCTTCTCACAAAAAATGTAAGGTCTAACTGGGGACATTTAACACTGAGGACACAAGAGATTTTGAGTATCTCTGAGAACTGCAGAACACCCAAATCCATATTCTTTTTCTGGCCGTAATATTCTGCAGCGGTCTACAAATGTACACACAAAGATAAAGCATCAGGACTGGAGATGGGTGTGTTGAGAAAGCATGACTGAAGGAAATAATTTTTTCAGAAGCCTTTGGGTGATTAGAGAGAGTCTTAATGCCTAGGATTTATATAATATGAACAGAGGGGGAAAAAAAACAACCAAATTCAATCTCCTTTAAAGCCCCCTACGCACATGTACCTCAGAAAGGACTCCACATCCAATATGAAAGATTGATTTTCTATCTGTATGATAGCAAAAAAAAATTCCTACACTTTCATAAACCTATAAAGCTCCAGTTTAAAGTATTTTACCACTCTCCCACAGCACCTGCAGAGAAGAGCAGCCCAAGTGCTACAGTCCCCAATTTAAATAATGTTGTATCCTCACTCCTTGTCAAACCTACACAAATCACAGTCTGAGCTGCAGATTCTCCTCATCTTTAGAAATACCAATGGAATTTATTAGACTTCTCCAAACTGCATCCCTGCAGACTAAAAACGAGATGGCAGAGTGTCACTACAAATATCATTCTGCCTCTGGATGATCCATAAAAAAGAAAAGGAAGGAAGAATGGAGCACACTGGACTGTCAGAGCAGACAGGCAGGAGAAGAAGCCTATTGATAGCTGAACACATCTGGATTCAGAAAACCTGTGGAAAGGGGGGAGATTCTTGTTTCTAAGCTGAGGTCCATTCTGGAAATTCAACAATAAAAATATGGATACATTATTTATTATTACTATGATGGCTTTGGCTTGATAAATTTTTAACTATTTCACTGATCCTTCCTTCTACTGATGAAGAAAAGGAAACAGAAGTGTTTCTGCATGTAAGTTCCAGGTGACTCTTATCCAACAGCAGCCAACATCAATAACACCTACAAGAAATATTTTACAGATAAACTATAAAAAATTACTGGTTTGGTTTCTCATGCATTTTTCCCTCAGACTCTTTTCTTCATAGAGTTGGTACCATTTTTTTTTTCTCTCCAGTTTGTTCATGGAAATCCTTCCCATATTCACTTTCCTAACAGAATTAGAACAAAATTAGAGAAAAACTGCTGTTTGAGTAACAGGATGCCACTAACAAAAAGCAAACTGTTGGGCACTGAAGTTTCCCAGCTAACTGACAACTGTCAGTTCCTCAGGAGAGACTCTGAACAGCAATACCTTTCCATACTCATTTTTAATTGCCAATTCAATTACAATCTACAACTCAGATCATGTATTTCTACTGAACTACCACTACAGCACTTCCTACCCTGAAGTAAAGAGTAAAATCTAAAGAGAAGTTCCAGCTAATCCTACAGCTTATTGGTACTTGTGCAGAAGCTGGAACATTACTGACTGAGAACTGATCTCCCCAAAACAGCCAATGACACAGGAAATAGAGAAATGAATGGGGAAGGAGCAGAGTGAAGGGGATTTCTTGTGCTGGATGGTGCTCAGTCCTTTCTTTACACTTTGTCTCTAGTAAGTGGGATTGACTGACTACCAGAGTCAAGGAGCTTTGCCCCCCCAAAATGTTCAAAGTTCTGTGTAGCAGAACCCACTATTTTAGCTCAAGAAGTTGTCTTAGACCAAGGGCATATTAAGGGAACTATAACTCAAGGATATAAGAATCCACCTGCAGAGATTCAGTCATTAAATCCTCTACGTAAACAAAAATAAACATTCCACAGAAGAACATAAAACATCAGCTTAATTTAATATTAGCAACTCTGCTAATTAGACTTTTTTTAAGAAAACATCCTTCAAGATATGAAAAGCTTTAAAAGACCCATTTTCTTTTAAAAAACCTTTAAAAAACTGTTGCACAGCAACATTAGAAATAATCAACAAAGAAACGACCACAAGAACAATATACACAATGCATGACTTAGTAGTCAAATTTATAGTGATATATTGTAATTGAGTAAACAATCAATAGATGTTCATATACTTTCCTCCTCTCTGTTGCAAAATACTTTTATATATCTAAATTTTTGGTTTCATAAACTTTACAAACTTGGAAACTGTTCAGGTCAGAAGCTCCTGGGTTTAATTCTTATATCATCTGTTTTGCTTGGTAGATGTGTTTCTTTATTCTTTGTTTCTTTATTCCCATGCAATTTTACTGGCAATAACTCCGAGTTTATCCCTGTGTGTATCTTGCTACAGGAAGAATGAGAGGATTCTGTTATTACTATATTATTTTTTCTTGCAGTGTCCCATCACCACAAATCCTGCTTTCTGTGTTTCAGAGAGCAAGGCAAGATTTTGCCCTCAAACTTTTTCCAAACTGTAACATTAATTTTTGAAATAT